CCATGCGAAAGCATTCGACTGTGGAAATCCTAACAAACTATGGCTAACAATGTGAAGAACACATATTCCAAAACACTTCATTGTGTTCATGAGGAACCTGTAAGTAGACCAAGAGGAAGTTGTTCAAACAGAACAAGTGGACACTGAATGCTTTAAAACCAGGTAAGGTGTGCATCAGGGTTGTATAGCTTCATCAATACTTATTCAATCTGTATGATGAGCAAATAACCCAAGAAGCTGGATTATACGAAGAAGAATGTGGCATCAGGATTGGCAGAAGACTTAATATCAACCTTTGATATGTAAATGACACAACTTGCTTGCTGGAAACAAAGATACTTGAAATACTTACTGATAAAGATCAAAGACTACTATGGCCTTCACTACAGATCACACCTCAATGTAAAGAAAACAAAAGTCTCACAAATGAACCAATACAGAACATCATGACAAATGAAGGTAAGGTTGAAGTGGTCAAAGACTTCTTTGTGCTTGGATCCATCACCAATCAACACTCATGAAGTAGCAGTCAAACAATGTATTACTTTAGGCAAATCTGATGCAAGAGTTATCTTTGAAGTGTTAAAGAGCAAAGCTATCAGTTTGAGGACTAAGATGCACTTGACCCAAGCTATGGTATTTTTAATAACCTCATAAGTATGTGAAAATTGGGCAATGCATAAGGACAACCACAGCAGAATTTATAGTTTTGAATTATGATGTTGGAGAAGAATATTGAAAGTACCACAGACTGCCAAAACAACAAACAAATCTGTCTTTGGAGAAGTGCAGCCACAGTGCTCCTAAAAACCAGGATGACAAGACTTCCTCTCTAGTACTTTGGAAATGTGGTCAGGAGGGACCAGTCCCAAAAGAAGGACATCAAAGTGGAAGGTCATCAAAAAAGAGGAAGAGCCCCCAAGGAGATGAATTAACACACTGACAGCAGCAATTAGCTCAAACATAACAATGAGGTTAAGTGTGGGACCAGGTAGTATTTCATTTTGTTGTGCATAGGATTGCTAGAGTTGGAACCAACTCTACAGAAGCTAACAACAACAGTTGAGATATAAAATTTAAGTTGTTGTGTTTTGTTTTTTTTGAACTGTGATTTGGGTGAAGATTTACAGAGCAAGCTGATTTTCCACTGAACAGTTCACACAGATTTTCTTTTGTTACACTGAATGCAATCCCCATATTGTTAACAGCACTCTTCCAACTTCTTTCCTGTTCTTTTTGGTGCCTTCCTGCCTTCTGATCTATATCCCTGGGGAAATGGGGGTTTACCTCCTATGGTTATTGTTCTGAGTACATACCTCCTTGGTGTCACCTGACTGGACTGTTCGTCATTGATTGGGCTGGAAGTTGAGTTATGGAGATGACTTCAGTTCCAGTCCGGAAAGATTTCTCAGGGCCATAGTCTCAGACCAATAAGCGAGGTCTTTTCTACCAATTTTGAATGTTGTTCCACACTTTTTTCCCACTCTTTCCAGGACCTGCTATTGTGATCCCTTTCAGAGCAGTCACAGTGGTACTCAGGCACCATCTAGTTCTTTTGGACTCATCAGAATCACAAAAGCCAGGGTTATTTCCTTGCATCTTTGAATTTCTTCACTCTTCTTTTCTCCAGACAGGGAGAGACCAATAAGTTGCACCTTAAATGGCTGCTCGCAAGCCTTTAAGATCCTAGTCACCACTTGCCAAAGTAGAATGCGGAACACTGTCTTTGTGGACTGTGATGTCAACTGACCTAAGTGCCCTTGCCCCCCAAGACTTTGGTCCTTGAGCCCCTAAGCCCAGCAACTTATTCACTCAAGGTGTTTGGTTACAGCTAATACATTTTCATTAAAAATGTAAGTTTAAAAATCTATTCATAATGTCTGCCCCTGCCTAGTTCACAGAGACACAAGGATAGGGAGAAAGGGCTTAAGTGAAAGCTCCTGGTGCTTTCAACAACAGGGTGCTTCTCAGACAAACGCATCTTCATTTCTAGCCATAGACACTTTTTTCAGGCATGTTGAGATTATCTTGATTACTCACAGTTTTCATTGCATTTGATTCTGCATGATCTGTGGCAGTTTCTATACATCAAATCCAATCTCACACCATGAAAACCTGCTGTCGCTAAAAATATTCACTCAAATCTGTTGTTGCAAGCTTGGAGGACAACTGTAAATGAGGAATTCTAAAATATTTTGAGCACCAATTGCATCAGTTGAATGAATTCAGAGTCTCTCCAAGTAGCTATATGAAAGGGAAGAACCCACACACAGACTGACAGTCGTAGTCCATCAGTGACAGAAAATCAGTCTTGCTGTGTTCCTATTTGACAGCATTTTCATATCCTCTCTGTCAGCTCTGTCCCCTCCTGAGGCTACTGGGGTATAATGGCCACTAAGACAAGATGGTTAAGAGCAGGACAATACGGTTTTCAGGCTCCCTGAGTCCACGCATAAGGAGCTCTGGGGGTGCTGTGAGCTAAGTATTGGACTGCTAACCACAAGTTTGGCAGTGCAAACCTACTAGTTGTTCCTCAGGAGAAAGATGAGGAGGGCTGCTCACATAAAGATTTAAAGTCTCAGAGCCCTATAAAGGGTCACTATGAGTTTGAACAGACTCCATGGCAGTGGGTTTGGTTTGTTGGTTTTGGTTAATGCATATACAGCTTTTAGCCCAGTGCCTAGCTCAAGCGAGACCACAATCATTATTTATATTGCAGCTGCTGCTGTTGTTGTTGCAATAGGAACTGCGTCTCTTATTTCCTTGCTATTATTGTACTAAGTCCTTATGCATAAATAGCTCAGGGGTCAGCAAACTTTTCTTAGACAGTCTTTTAGGGTTTGTCATACAGTAGGCATCACAACTCACTAGCCTTGACTTTATAGTCTGAAGTCACAATATGCAAATAAATGGGCATAGTTAGCTGTGTCCCAATAAAACTTTTAGGTACAAAAATAGGTAGTAGGAGGTGCAACTGGAGCAAAGAGGAATGAAGCCAATCGAAGGAATAATTAGTCCAATGGACTAATAGGCTCCCTGAAAGAACAGCAGTTTCCATGACCCTGAGACAGGAAGAACTAGATGGTACCAGGCTACCACTATCTACTGTTCTGAAAGGGATCACATTAGAAAGTCCTAGACACAGTGGGATAAACATGTGGAATAAAATTCAAAAGCATAAATAGATGATGCTTACTGGTCAGAGAAAAACTGATGTAAACCCCCAAGACTATGGCCTTTAGCCACCTTTGTTGTTGTTAAGTGCTGTTGAGCCAATTCCAACTCACAGTGACCCTGGTATAGGGTTTCTGAATCTGTAAATCTTTGCAGGAGCAGAAAGCCTCATCTTTCTCCCACTGAGTGGCTGGTGGATTCGAACCACCTATCTTGTGGTTCACAGATCAGTGCTTATCATACAAAACAGCCACATTCACCCTTTATGTCTGGAAAAAAACCTCACTCCATGGCTCAATTTCCAGACAAACGACCGATAAAGGAGAATGATAACACTAGGGAGGTATGCACACTTTAGAATTATAAAACGATTTGAGATCCAAAGGGCAGCATTTACCCAAGGGTCAAATTCAGGTTAGGAAATGAGGGGGAATGGAAACAAAACATAGGGAGGAAGAGGAATAAGTGATGTTACACTGTGAGTATTGTAATCAGTAAGATGAAACAAAACTGATCTGCTCTGTAAGACTTCACCGAATTCATACACACACAAAATTTTAAAGAAAAAAACAGGCAGTATCCTAAACGTGGCCTGTGGGCTACAGTTTGCTGACCCCTGATTTAGCCGACTGTTGATGCTATTCTCATGTGATAATAATTATGTGTACCTAGACTATGTAATATGTTTTCAGACTACAAAGATATTTTACATTTATTATTTAGTAACACGCAATTCTTTAATTTCTCCATTTCTGTTCTGTTCTCTGTAACTGAACTAGCAGGTCTATAGATATCCAGCAGACACAAAAAGGACCGAAATTCAGAGATTATATCAAAGGCCACAAGAAAACTTCATCCATCAGTTTGGGTTCAGGCCTTAGACCTTTATAACTGATCAAAAGCTAGTGGACTCCCCAAAAGAAATATCTTAGAAAGATATAACGCTAAGAAAAAAGAAGCAAGGTTTCCATGTTAATTTTAGTTTCATTTTTGACCTCATTATTTCTACTTGACTGTAGGAAAATAGCAGTGAGGAAAGACGAGCACACAGCTGTTGATTTAAGCATGTCGCCGCTCCGCGGGAGAAAGATGAGGCTTTCTACTCCCGTAAGGATTTACAACCTCGGAAACCCTGTACAGGGTCGCTATGGGTCGGACCCGACTCGACGGCACTTAACAACAACAACAACAACAACATAGCTAATTTACAGTCCTGCTGTGGCACTGTGGGGTTAATGCACCAGACTGCAAAGCCATTTGAACTGCAAGGTTGACGGTTCAAGCTCACCAGTTGCTCATCGGAAACCCTATATAGGGTAGGAATCGACTTGACGGCACTTAACAACACAGCTAATTTGGACTCCTGGTGTGGCGCTGTAAGATCACCATCAGACTGCGAACCATAAGGTCGGTAGTTCAAACCGACCAGCTGCTCCTCAGAAATGCTATGTAGGGTAGCTATGAGTCAGAACCGACTCAAATGCACTTAACAACAACAACAGCAGCATAATTAATTTATAAATCCCAATTCCACAATTACCAGAGTGCTTTTATATTTACTGGCAATCATGTCTAGGATAAAACAGTGAATAGTCTTGATAGCAGCCTTTGTCTGTGAAGGCCGTACCTTGCATATTGTTCTGCCCATTTCCCCGGCAGCCATTAAGGGCCAAGTGGATATGGAGGGCTAGCTCTCTACCTGGGAGCTGACCCCCTGTGTGTGTGTGTGTGGAGAGGAGGGAAGCAGGGGCCAGAGTTAAGCGGGGGAATTAGGGGGACTTTGCAACATATACAGAGGATGTCAAATTGGAACTTTCTGGACTCACCTGCAACTGAAGGTTAAGGGCTCTGTGCTTCACAGCTGAGGAGTGGAGGGCATGGCCCACATGGATCTGTTCTAGGCGCTGCCTCCACTGGTTCCACCACATCCTGTCAAAGAGCATATTGAAGACGGAGCCAATGAGAAAAAAAAAAAAAAAAATCCAGAAAGAAGAAAGGCTGCTTGTGCTGGGTCTCAGACCCTCTCAATCTGACAGTACACATAGGCTCTATTTGGCTTACACAGCTTTTAAACATGAATTATTGGGAGAACAAACAAGATGGTAGATCAAGTGACAGTGCTGTAAGGAGCTCCATCAGTAACAACACAGAATACAGGACCAAGCAGTCTCAGGGGATGGTCCCAGAACTCTGAACCACATATAAAGAAATGTTTAGAAGGCTGAAAGGCTTACAGCTAGGGGAATTTGTAGTAGAAGCAAGAAATCCATTGCTTTCTAATTCAAGAGGCTCAGCTGCTCCAGGAGCCGCTATCTTGGGTGAGACCAAGCGGGGGAAGGACCAGAGCAGCCACAGACGCCTGACAGAACCTCGGAGATAAAGGTGTGGACATTCTTTGCTTTTGATATCTCTTCATTGGTCCCTTGCTATCTGTACACCACCATTCTTGTGACTATAGCGGTGCCTGAGATAGTGGGCATCCCAGCCCCAATTTGGAGAGTTCTACTATGCATGCGAACAGATCGGCTCGAAATGAAAAGAGACAGTTTCCACTTAAAAACCAAACAGCAACAGCGGCCCTGAACTGTATATAATTTAAAAAAAAGTCTGAATGGGGATTATGGAGTGGGACAGGCAGACAAAAAAGGAAATAAGCCCAAAACTAAAAGCTATATCATATCAAAAAGACCAACAGTGGTATCCTGAAATTTATCAAGAAGAGGGACAACAAAAGCCCATTTCCTGATCACATCTACCTGGAGGCAATCAGAAAGCATAAAAAATACCAAAATACACACCCATCTAAGTATTAAGGGCACAGACAACACCTGAATATGCCCAAAAAAACTAAAGCACATGAGACAATATCTGCACATGTCCAAAAACGAGATAAAGTGACAGGCAAATAAGCTGGAAGTAGACCTACACTCCATACTAGAAGATGGGCTGGCTTTGGAAATGCCAGAGAAGGAATTCAGAGATATGATTATATATCAAAACACTATAAAATGGAATTGAAAAAAATAAGGAAGAAGTCAGGAAAGCACTACAGAAAGAAATCCAAAAGATTAATAATACAATATCAGACATGGACAATACACTGAAAGGGCAAAGGAGTAGAATTGAAGAGATAGAAGCCAACACTAGTGAGCTAGAAGATAAATCTCTCAACACTACTAAGACAGAAGAACAAACACAAAAAAGGCTAAACAAATCTGAAGAAGGCCTAAGATTCATGTTGGACAACATGAAGAGGAATAATATAAGAATTATTGGCATTCTGGAACAAGAACAATCATACAAGTCCACAGAGGAGATAGTTGAAGATCTTCTGGAAGAAAAATTTCCTAACATCCTAAAATGTGAAAAGATCAGAAGCTCAACGAACCCCAGGATGGATAGACCCTAAAAGACAGACACCAAGACATGTAATAATCAAGCTCTCCAAAATCAAAGATAAGGACAGGATCTTGAAAGCAGCTACGGAAAAGAGAATTGTAACATACAAAGGACAGCAATTAAGATTAAGCTCGGATTTCTCAACAGAAACCATGCAGGCAAGAAGGC